CTACAAAAAAAGCAATGTTATTGACTTGACTTAAAGAATGATCTAAGTCCAACTGATTCATCCTTCAACAACAAATTTATGGCTTTGAAAAATACAAAACATAGTCACACATAATAGCTTCATAAATATACATAATACAGCAATGGAGTTTTTCAGAAATATGCAGCATTAATAGACATATAGCTTTTATTTCTTTAGCTGAAAACATTGAGTCTGTGGACTTGGAATATTTTTGAACTCAACAGTTCAAATGTTTAATTTATATTCTACTTATCATTTTTTATAAGTATTTTAGTCTATCATAAAAACATGCTTCTGTAATGTAAAATTATACATATTTTATATATATTTCTATATTTTGATATCACAAAAAAAACAACGAAAATTTACTCTGTAATGTAAAATTATACATATTTTATATATATTTCTATATTTTGATATCACAAAAAAAACAACGAAAATTTACTCTGTAATGTAAAATTATACATATTTTATATATATTTCTATATTTTGATATCACAAAAAAAACAACGAAAATTTACTCTGTAATGTAAAATTATACATATTTTATATATATTTCTATATTTTGATATCACAAAAAAAACAACGAAAATTTACTCTGTAATGTAAAATTATACATATTTTATATATATTTCTATATTTTGATATCACAAAAAAAACAACGAAAATTTACTCTGTAATGTAAAATTATACATATTTTATATATATTTCTATATTTTGATATCACAAAAAAAACAACGAAAATTTACTCTGTAATGTAAAATTATACATATTTTATATATATTTCTATATTTTGATATCACAAAAAAAACAACGAAAATTTACTCTGTAATGTAAAATTATACATATTTTATATATATTTCTATATTTTGATATCACAAAAAAAACAACGAAAATTTACTCTGTAATGTAAAATTATACATATTTTATATATATTTCTATATTTTGATATCACAAAAAAAACAACGAAAATTTACTCTGTAATGTAAAATTATACATATTTTATATATATTTCTATATTTTGATATCACAAAAAAAACAACGAAAATTTACTCTGTAATGTAAAATTATACATATTTTATATATATTTCTATATTTTGATATCACAAAAAAAACAACGAAAATTTACTCTGTAATGTAAAATTATACATATTTTATATATATTTCTATATTTTGATATCACAAAAAAAACAACGAAAATTTACTCTGTAATGTAAAATTATACATATTTTATATATATTTCTATATTTTGATATCACAAAAAAAACAACGAAAATTTACTCTGTAATGTAAAATTATACATATTTTATATATATTTCTATATTTTGATATCACAAAAAAAACAACGAAAATTTACTCTGTAATGTAAAATTATACATATTTTATATATATTTCTATATTTTGATATCACAAAAAAAACAACGAAAATTTACTCTGTAATGTAAAATTATACATATTTTATATATATTTCTATATTTTGATATCACAAAAAAAACAACGAAAATTTACTCTGTAATGTAAAATTATACATATTTTATATATATTTCTATATTTTGATATCACAAAAAAAACAACGAAAATTTACTCTGTAATGTAAAATTATACATATTTTATATATATTTCTATATTTTGATATCACAAAAAAAACAACGAAAATTTACTCTGTAATGTAAAATTATACATATTTTATATATATTTCTATATTTTGATATCACAAAAAAAACAACGAAAATTTACTCTGTAATGTAAAATTATACATATTTTATATATATTTCTATATTTTGATATCACAAAAAAAACAACGAAAATTTACTCTGTAATGTAAAATTATACATATTTTATATATATTTCTATATTTTGATATCACAAAAAAAACAACGAAAATTTACTCTGTAATGTAAAATTATACATATTTTATATATATTTCTATATTTTGATATCACAAAAAAAACAACGAAAATTTACTCTGTAATGTAAAATTATACATATTTTATATATATTTCTATATTTTGATATCACAAAAAAAACAACGAAAATTTACTCTGTAATGTAAAATTATACATATTTTATATATATTTCTATATTTTGATATCACAAAAAAAACAACGAAAATTTACTCTGTAATGTAAAATTATACATATTTTATATATATTTCTATATTTTGATATCACAAAAAAAACAACGAAAATTTACTCTGTAATGTAAAATTATACATATTTTATATATATTTCTATATTTTGATATCACAAAAAAAACAACGAAAATTTACTCTGTAATGTAAAATTATACATATTTTATATATATTTCTATATTTTGATATCACAAAAAAAACAACGAAAATTTACTCTGTAATGTAAAATTATACATATTTTATATATATTTCTATATTTTGATATCACAAAAAAAACAACGAAAATTTACTCTGTAATGTAAAATTATACATATTTTATATATATTTCTATATTTTGATATCACAAAAAAAACAACGAAAATTTACTCTGTAATGTAAAATTATACATATTTTATATATATTTCTATATTTTGATATCACAAAAAAAACAACGAAAATTTACTCTGTAATGTAAAATTATACATATTTTATATATATTTCTATATTTTGATATCACAAAAAAAACAACGAAAATTTACTCTGTAATGTAAAATTATACATATTTTATATATATTTCTATATTTTGATATCACAAAAAAAACAACGAAAATTTACTCTGTAATGTAAAATTATACATATTTTATATATATTTCTATATTTTGATATCACAAAAAAAACAACGAAAATTTACTCTGTAATGTAAAATTATACATATTTTATATATATTTCTATATTTTGATATCACAAAAAAAACAACGAAAATTTACTCTGTAATGTAAAATTATACATATTTTATATATATTTCTATATTTTGATATCACAAAAAAAACAACGAAAATTTACTCTGTAATGTAAAATTATACATATTTTATATATATTTCTATATTTTGATATCACAAAAAAAACAACGAAAATTTACTCTGTAATGTAAAATTATACATATTTTATATATATTTCTATATTTTGATATCACAAAAAAAACAACGAAAATTTACTCTGTAATGTAAAATTATACATATTTTATATATATTTCTATATTTTGATATCACAAAAAAAACAACGAAAATTTACTCTGTAATGTAAAATTATACATATTTTATATATATTTCTATATTTTGATATCACAAAAAAAACAACGAAAATTTACTCTGTAATGTAAAATTATACATATTTTATATATATTTCTATATTTTGATATCACAAAAAAAACAACGAAAATTTACTCTGTAATGTAAAATTATACATATTTTATATATATTTCTATATTTTGATATCACAAAAAAAACAACGAAAATTTACTCTGTAATGTAAAATTATACATATTTTATATATATTTNCAAAAAAATATACGTATTTTGGAAATGTTGAGTCGAATTAGTCTAGAATCGATTAATTTTATGAAAGAAAACCTTTCAAACAGCCGTAGTCCGTAAACTATGATTCCTACAAAATTGATTCATAAAGAACGGAACGTATCTACCGTCTTATAGGGGGATCTACTGTATGTGTCTTTTTTATACAACTAAAAAAAAATTGGGAAGAGACCTCAATTTTTTGTTAGTTTAGAGCCTAAAAAAATATAAATCTGGCATTGACTCTATTGTCTTTTGAAAGGTTTCTTTGCTGTCTTACCTGATCAAATTTACTCTTATACTTTTCCCTAGGCTTTTTTTTTTTTTTGGACAAAATAGTGAATCTTTTTAAATCCAATTATAAAACATAGACAAATTGTATGTTTGTTACATTAGTTATAACATTTTCTAAATAATGGGCTGGTTAGATTGTTACTTCCAATTGGATAATAGAATGTCATGTGGTCAATATGAAAAGATTTTTTTTTTTAAATTTGTTATAGAAGTGACACAATGCAGCTATCATTTTTTAAAGTTTAAATTTTAAATTTAATGAAGGTAAGTTTAAAATATGCCATTTGCCAAAATATTTAAAAATGCAATTTAAGGGAAATTTCCTCATCAAGCATGAATGTCACATGGTCACTGACATCACTGCATCGTAAGTGTGATCACTGATCCAAAATCAATATATTCAATAAAATCAATTCAAAAACGTTTATTCTATGCCTAATATTTCCACAAAATAAGTAGCCTATACTTTCCATCAGAATATAAACTGAATATAACCAAAATTTCATCTGGATCGGAGAAAAATTGCAGGAGTTATAAGGAATTCACACACACACACACACACACACACGACAGCTTTTATATTAGTAATATATAATTTAANTATTATACTATTTTAGATGCGGTTTTTTGCGTTTTTGATTGCGTTTTAATAGAGTACGTCAACAGAATGTACACAAAGAAGGGATTTTTCGATATTCCCCCGGGGGGAGAGGGACAGGATTAAGGCTTACTGTGAAAAACTTGGCTTCTATTATACTATTTTAGATGCGGGTTTTTGCGTTTTTGATTGCATTTTAATAGGGTACGTCAAGAGAATGTACACGAAGAAAAAATTTTTCGAAAAATTTTCCCCCAGGGGGGAAGTGTTATACATTTATAATAGATACATTTTGAGCCACAACAAGGTGTGTCGGGGTCTGCTAGTGAATATATATATATTCATGAGAACTTAGATCTTCATTTATTCATAAAAACTTTAGTTCTTATGATTAAATGAATACTTGTAAAAGTGCAAATATTTACAATGGGACGATTACTATAAAAATTTTTTACACAAAGTTTTACTTGAAATTTATGGCAATATTTGATAATAAATGTTTATTTCTAAGTTTTTATAAATGAAATAAAGAGTAACTAAAAGAAACTAATTTCAGGAAAATTTTTCTGACATTTTCATATTATAAATAAAAAAATAATATCTGTATTTATTCACACCTTGAAACGAGTATCAGGTGCAGGTATATTTACAAATGCATCTTCCCAAACATCTGGAAGGAAACTGGTATTGAACTGAATTGTATATCCTAAAATAGCTGCTTGTCGATCTCCTTTGGGCTGCCATTCTACTAATGCAGTCAGTCCTTCACATTTGACACCAGTGATTTTAGGTGGATTAGGAACATCTGAAATTCAAAAACTGTTTATGTGAAATTAAATCTTTTAAAAAATTTTTATGTAAATTAGATTGTTTTATTAAAATAATTATCAAAACCCATTTTTTTTCATTTAAATAACAAATACAATTAAAAAACAAAGGAAATAAAACAAATAAATAAAACAGTACTCATTCAATAACAAGAAAATAAATAAATGGCAAAAATAAAATAAATAATACAACATGAATGGATAAAATATTTTCTCTTAAAAATAACAATACCTTCAATAATATGTATTCATTAGCAATATTATAAAGAGGTAATGTTTGTAAGTATGTATGTAAGTAAGTTTGTTTGCAGCAGGTAATCTCTGAAACTACTCATCCAATTTCAAAAATTCTTTCACCATTATTTAGAATGGAACCTCAGGGTGGACATAGGCTGTATATTATTCCGTTAAACATTCATATAAATTAAATGATATAATCTAGGTTAAGGCTTTTATGTCCAACAGATGGCGCTACGAGTACGACGCCCTAAGTTTGCTTTTCTGTGAGGCATTATCCTTTTCTCTGAAAATGACCTAAAGCAGATCATCTTCTATCTATTTATATAAATAAAAATGTAATGTTCGTTTGTTCCTACTGATTCCTTTGAAATTTTCACACAACGCTGCATTCGAATACGCATATGTTTTTATATAATATACGTGTCGAAGTTCAACCCCACTGAAGGGAGATGCTTAGGATTAATTAAGGCTTACCGTAAAGAACTCTGCTTCTATTTATACTATTTTACATGCGGTTTTTTGCGTTTTTGATTGCGTTTTAATAGGGTACGTCAAGAGAATGTACACTAAGAAGAAATTTTTCGAAAAATTTCCCCCAAGTGGGAAGTGTTATACATTTATAATAGATACATTCTGAGCCACAACAACGCGTGGTGGAGTCTGCTAGTTAGCAATAAAGTAAATTAGCATATAGTTTTCTGCCTGTAATCTGAGATTGTGTGTTTATAAAAATCCTTCCAACTTGAATAGTATAGATTATAGGCCACTGTATATGATCTGTAACTATTTTTCCACAATTTCAAAAAATAACTTTAAAATTATTTTACATTTGTTGTGTTAAGAAGTTTCTTGACATGATAAAAATGCAACTAGATGTTTTGTTGTTTAAGTGTCAGATAGATACAAAGAAAAAGAGGCAGAAAAATCTTTTCACTTCTATTTGTAAATGGAATAAAGCATTGTTTATGAATCTGTAAGCACTCTAATAAACATCTCCAAGCCAATCTTTATTTAAAATATGTTTTAAGTTTAACTTAAGATGTTTTAGCTTGGATAAACAATACAATTAACTAACATCATGACAAGTATAAAAGTCTTCTCAACATAACAAGCAGGGCTGGCCAAAGAGCATTTACATTTACATTTACTAAAGGATTAGAAGGCCTCCACCAATAGGTATAGCCTTGGAAAAGGAAAGATGAATAGTTATAGTAGAAGTGAGAAGGGTGAAGAGAAGAGAATGGTATATAGGAAAGTGTGAAATATGACATCTCAAAGTACCTGCTGAGTGCCATTTATTAAACACAAAAAAGTACAAATAGCCAAAATACAGTGGTATACAGAATAACCGCCTCTGTTTTGAGGCAGTAGGAGCCCCATTATGGCTGACTTGCCTTGGAGCTCAACAAACATATATGTGCAAATATACAACCTGATTGGGGAAAAGACAGACCAAATACTCCATGCCTTGGGAGGGAACAAAAGAGAACAACCGTACAAACAAAAAACAGCTTGTAACCAGCTGCAAAGGCCCCTAATGGCTAATTTGCTGAGGGCTCGCAAACACACATTCGCACTAATGTACAGTACAACCCCTTAGAGAGAAAGACAAATCCCCCATGCCTTTGGAGGGAACAAAAGAAAGCAACCGTTTGTACAAAAAACAGCCCAAAACTTGGCAAAATGGCCCTTAATAGCTACCTTGTCAAAGGGCCTGCACACAAACAAACACATCTCCTATCAAGGGGACGAGACCTGGCCTTGGAGGTTACAAAAAATGCAAGCGACAAATTCTACCATAAAGGGACCAGGGACAATGACATTGTTCCTTCAGGTCTGGTGGTGCATGACCAAAGGGTAGTTAAGACATCAACCATCTTAAAACAAAGAACAAAGAATGGTGCCACAATTTATGCCGGTCGACAAGCCTACCCTGCAATGCCGCTCAGACAATATTACGGGCAGCCAGAGACACAGTCCCAGAGCAGACTTTCACAGATACCAAGCCTGGGTTGATTGTTACCAGGAGGGTCAGTTACCTGGTGGACTTCAAGATGTCTGTTGCCCTGATGAAGGTTTCGAAAGCCTGGAGAGTCTTATGATTGGTAAGGAAATCTTTCATTTGGCAAGACCAGTGAAAGCCAACATCAACCAGGGTGCCTTTCTGCTTTATTTTGGACACAAGAAAATTATGTGCTTTGTGTCCTGATCCTCATCCATGGAGCAGAGGCATTTTGTGTCCTCTTTATTAAGAAACTGTTTCAGATATTCTCAAAAGTTTCCACAGCCCATTATGAATTGTGAGGTGGTGAAGTTGGGCTGGTAGAAGTTCTTAGTTTGTCTCTCCATAACACTCGGTAGAAACTCGAAAGCGTGTCAGCCCGTACCTTTGATTCCTACCAGCATTGCCACAGTTGCATTACGGTGTTATTTAACTTGTCTTAATGAAGCTTGTCGGAAGAGTGCTTAGTGAGATGGGCATGTCCAACCTCGCGGCCATTTTTGCCAACAGGTCCACCCGCTCATTTCCACTAACTCCTGAATGTCCCTTAACCCAGTGAAAGTAAATCATCACTCCTTTTCTTTGGTGTGTTTTGAGAAGGTTGTTGTATTCTTAAACAATAATCTTGTTCATAACCATTTTAACTGAGCAAGTGCTGTTTTGTTGTCACTGAATACATTGATTGTCTTATTGTGTAGTCTTGGGTTGTCTTTTATGTAGTGGAGAGCCCTGAAAATGGCCAGGCTCTTTGCGTGGTTATTTGAGCAATGTTATTTGAGTTTGTAATTAGCTTGAAAGATGGTCTTGTCATACTTGTTATACACTACCACAGCATATCCTTCACATTCTGTTGACTTTGACCCATCAGTGAAGATTTTGTATCCACTGTTGCTATCTTCCCAACTCTCCTTAATTTCTGGGCATGGCTTTGCTGGATGTACGGTGTTGTTCCTCTGTGCTGTGTTGAGGCCATACTGTTGAATGTCCCTGATAAGGTCACTCATTAACAGATGGTGGTTGGAAGTCTGAAAACCATCGACTGGTTGTCTGAGAAGTTGATGTTTCCAGTGAATTTTTAAGATGTGTAAGTCAAGAGGCAGTATGTTTGTAATTATGTGTAAAGCATTTGTAGGCCTTTGCAATGGGGATAAGGCTCATGCATTGTATTGATAAAAGTTTCTTCTTGATATTCTGCTTAGTAGCCACTTTTTCCGAGACCTCTGCCCCATATGTTACTGCCAGCTCGATGGCACACCGGTAAATAGTCTGGCTAGTGTTAGAGTTGATGTTATATGTATTCCGAGAAATGCACATGAGGGAATGTGCAAGGTTGATGGCCTTGCTGTGGACATGAATATTCAACATGTGGCTTCCAGGTTAACATTTTATCAATGTTTATTCCCAGGTATTTAATGACTGGGCTGTATTTTATACACCCAGTCATTAAATACCTGGGATGAATAATTGGCCAGAAAGTTTGATGGAACCAGAGGGTAAAGTTGTGGAAATGTGATACATGCACTTTTTCAGGATTTATAAGTAGTTTTTTCTTTTCAGCCCATTGGTTATCTTACTGAGAAGTTTATTCATTTAATGGCACACAAAAATCAAGAAGTTCTGCAGAACTTCTTGAATTTTTGTGTGCCATAAGAACTAGTGTGTCGTCTGCAAATCCAAAGATATTTATCATGGTATTTCTCAGAGGTGTGTCTTGCAGTTTAAAAATATCATTGTACTGTACAATGCCAGCCATAAGATGAGCTCTGACCTTGACCCATGTGGGCACCCTTTGTTTATGTTTTTGATGATGCTACTGGTTCCAGTCATAATGCTGGCTTTCCTTTCTGAAGGAAGATTCTATAAAGCCTGTATATATTCCTGGGGCATTTAATTTTTTCCAGAGCCATGAGGATGGTCGGCCACCACACGCGGTCAAAGGCCTCTTGAAAGTCAATTGCCACAGCCAGCATGTGTTTGTTATTGGGTTTTGCATTGTCAATGATCCCCAGCATCTGTTGTAGAACAGTTATGGTGCTCCTGTGTTTGTGGAGACCATGTTAGTTGTTATGTAGGAAACCTTATTTCTCCATTACAAATTCCAGCCTTTTCGAAAGTAGAGCATCCAGGATTTTGCCAAGTATTGGCAACAGTGAGATAGGACAGTAATCTTTTGATGTTGAAGGGTACCCTGACTGTGTTTTAGGTATAAGTTTTATCTCTGCATGATTGTCTTATTGGGTAGTCTTGGGTTGTCTTTTACGTAATGGAGAGCTTTATCTCGCTGTTTCCATGTTTTGGGAAAATATTGCAGTTCTAGATACTTATTGTAGATAACCACAGATGATAGCATAACAGGCAACATAGCTAAGCACACATTTATGTGTGCTTAGCCATGTTGCCTGTTATGCCATCTGGGCCTGGGGCCTTCCTCCAGTTAATTTCCTGACAAAGCTTAGCTATCTCACTAGGACTGAAGTTAGTGTCCAATTCTGTCTTCAGAGCTAGTGGTCACTTCTTCCTCATGGTCGTGTGATAGTGATTGTCTGTTTCTGTCTGGTCTGTAGGAAAGAGCTCAGACAGTAGATAATCGTAAGTCTCTGTAATTGTCTTTGTAAAGTTTCTGTCCCCTTTTCTTACTGTGGTTGGCACCTGGAAATGTTTATATTTATTTAAAACCACTTTAAAGGGTTTACTCCATGGATTTTGGTTGACACTAGTTTTGCAAAACTCCTTCCA